GGCGGATGCAAAATTGAAATTTGATAATTTCTTAGAATTTACTCATTCTTGGCGCTACCCAGAGCTAACGACGCGAACGTGATGAGTCCCTAAATACCGTAATCAAACCAAAATGCTGAAAAACGTGAAAACTTAAAAAATTGACGTACTTTGCACCCGTCATTTAAAATTTTGAAAATCTGTCATCAGATTCGTAATGAGCGATCCCGAAAACCCCTTTGTACAAAGTTTTCAAGAAATAATCTTAAAAAGTTTGGTCATTAATAAATTTCTCCGAAAAACTTGCTGTTTTGTCGTATCTGTTTAATTATTAAACTTTTACAATAAATATTAAAGACTACTCAACTGTTTCTTATATTCTTTTATTGCTAAGAAAACATATAAAAAACACGTTCTAAATGCGTCAACTAAAAATTACATGGCCAAAAAGTAAAGAAGTTGAGCTGGTAACGTGCGTTACCACCGTGCTTCAAAGGGTTAAACAACCGTTTTTCATATAACACAACGGTTTATTTAATGGATGAATGTACGGTAAATGTATCGCTAGGTAAATAGAGTGCATTATTGCAGCATGCATCTTCGCAGGATGATACTCGCGGCACGGTAGGACCGCTGTACACGCACCGGCATAAATGCTGTCCCTATCCTTGTGAGGTGCACGCACACAACTAGAGTCCCTGTAGTTGTGTGCGTGCACCTCACAAGGATAGGGACAGCATTTATGCCGGTGCGTGTACATCGGGTCAGGTAGACCCCCCCCCCCCCCGCGGATGTAGGATTGCGTAACGTGCAACACACCGACCCAAGGTGCACGTGCACACGCACGAAGGTAGGCGTGTAAGGTCTGTACTCTCCGCAGACCGATTCTCTACGACCGATCCGTGCGATTCGCCAAAATGTACGATTTCGCGGAAACACGGCGGAGACCAACGCACGGCCGCGCCGGTCAGATTTTGCACGGACGGATGCAGCCGCGCGTGACGAAATTATTCTTATTTCATTTTCCCCCCCGTGTACGAAAGACAGAGAGAAAGAGTTACATGTCCTTTACCTGTATTCTCCACGCGCGCGCGATACCGCCAGTTTCGTGCCAGTTATTTCGTAACGACCGCGGGAAATCTCGCCGCCTTCGCACGCGAGAACTCGTCCGACTGCGCGCGGTCGTCGCAGAACGCTTGTAAAATTTCTGCTCCGAACGTTAGCATTCTTCGCGTGAATAATGAACATGATAATCATCGCGTGCAAAATACCGAGGCCTGCTTAGCGGTGGCTATCAACGCGCGTTAAGTCTCGGAGCCACGCGTCGAAGATCGCGTCGGAAGTTGGAAAATGGAAATCAATAAACATGACGCCGGCTAAATCGATCAGGTCTCTGACGCGTAATCTCAATGTGATCTCGGTTTCAGCTTTTAACGCGATCGTAGAATCGTAGAAGAGTGAGATAGCCTATGTTTCTCTCTCACTTGCGGGAATTTGACGAACTCTTATGGCCAGTCTCTGATTACAGGGTCTCTACTTTCAACATGACTGCATTGGCATCTGTTATCAAACTTGGGCGTCAATCCTTCCTGCGCTTCAAACTGCGAGCGATGGATCTCGCGTAAACTGCACATGGCAAGGACCGAGTGCTTACGTACAGGTGAGAGAGTGCGGAGCGAGTCGAAAGCTCAGGAATGTTTTGACGTTTTCCGCTCGATAGCAACGGTAATTCGGGTTAGGTTTGACCGCGTTGCTGACCGGCCGTTGCTAGAGCGAGGAGGGTTCTTCGAGGGATGCTGAAGAGGAAAGCCGGGAGGCAGGCAAGGTGGAGGGAGATGAGGGGGAGTGAGACGTAAGAAGTCAAAGACGCAAATAGAACGCCCAAGTTAGCCTAACGGTCTCGCTAGGCGGATCAAGGGGGAAGTTGGACCAGGCGCGCTTACCAACGTCTCCTCGTCTGCCCATAGCTTTCCTCTTTCTCCTCGCCCTGCCGACACCTTTCGCATCTGCCTACATCCGTCCGTCGTTCGTCATCGCGCGCGCGACCATCGAATCGAACGCGATAATCCGTTGCGATAAAAACTCGCACGATTAGATACAAGTTGTTAATATCGGGGAAGCGACGACAGAACTACTGGGATAAGACGAATAAGAGAAACAAATATCCGATACAGTATTTATCACTTGGCACTCTTCGAGCGCCAAGCTGATCTCGGCATTGAGCTCAAATTGAATATATTATTTCAATATTTTATCGTCTCTTTAAATGTCTTAATAAAATTGATTTTTTTCTTCTTCAATGTCTTAAATCTTCAGCAAACTTTACTTTTAATCGGGCGAATAAAATCGCCACGGTTGGATAACGAGGTCCTTGCGAAAATTTACGCGTCACCCAGATACGGCACTCAAAGTGTTAATAATATCTGGCGACGTGTTCGCCCGTAAGCCCATTCATAAATTATAATCCGTCAATAAGTATCGTAACTTAAAAAATACGATAATATCGGGCATTAAGCTCCAAATGAGAAAGTGAAATGCATCGCGAGATACTTTGGCACGATAAACGAGAGCGTCGAGAGCGTACGAAGGAGCGAACAAGAAAATTAATGAACAATGACTCAGCCGGCCGAACTATCGGCGCATCGAGGTTTATCCTTTCTCCTCTCTTGCCTTAATATTTACTTTCCACCGCAGCCGGTATCGCCCGTGATTTCTGTTACGGGGGAGCGACGGCGACGACAGCTTTATGAAATCAACGCCCCGCGCGATTACGGAGCTTTTTCTTCGCCCGTGAATAAGAGAAAGTCAAGCCTCTCGCGCTCGCGTGCCTATTCGCGTTTCGGCGAATAAAGAAATCGTCGATCCGATACTCTTCCATTTTTTCGCGCCACCTGCCCGCCACATTTCATCGCGCCTCACGGATACCTAAATTCGGCCGCTGTCGTTGGTCCATCGATCTTTTGCCCGGGCGACAGGCGGCTGCCGTAAAACGTGAAAATGGTTCGTCGGAGAAAAAAAAGAATACATTCTCCGACTTCATTAACGCATCCAAGAATGTTCTTACTTGCGTTAAGGACGATTTCGTCACATTTTCTCCCGCTATCTGCTTCCCATCGGAATTTTCGATTTATAAGATAATTCGACGGCGCGACAAACAGGTTAGCACGTCCGAATGGAAATGTCAGATGACGAATCTCCGGCGAGAGACCTCTGGAAGCGCCAATAAATAAAGTTTCGAGGGGGCGTCGAAGTGAATTATTATACCCAAACTGTCTACCGCTGTCTGTTACATCCACCGTCACGGTCACGGGACGGTTTAACGATTCGAGATACAAACAACGAATGTGGCGATTACGCGAGAAAGAAACAAGAATCCCCTCAAATTTAGACCCGATTCGTTGAGCAACCGCGACCGTGCGGCAAGACAGTGTCGCGTGTTTCCGAGATTTTTAGAGTAGCGATAAATTTTTGGGTTCCTAGACCGCGATATCTTCTAAATCTCCATTTCCTGTGTGGAATGACGGGCGGTCGACGGAAACGCGACGGACAGTGTCAAGTTTCATATATAAATGGCAGAATCCACGAAGACGCTACACGCTGAAATTGCGTGTACCTCGGATTTTCGCACCCGCGCGACTTCGACACGCGTCGCACAACAATCCGCGGCCGCGTTCGCGCGTAAAAATAGCGGGGATGGCACCGCGAAAAGAAATATTCCCGTGGATTTCACGAGCGCGATCTCGTTACGGGAGTTAAATAAAAATATTAGCCCACGCTCGCGGCGTGCACGGGGCGAGCCGCAAAGTGAAATGTTTGCACGAGTTTCTGCCCTTCCCATTCCGTCCGCCTCTCGCCTCTCCTTTTCCCATCGGAACGCACGCGCGTGCATAATCCGCGAAAGCGTGTGGGTTCCCCGGGGCCAACGCATATCCGAGCATGCAGATGAGATCACGTCTCGGATCCTGAAGAATCAGGAACATTCGTAGGTAGTATTATTCGAAAATTCCCTCCGTATTCTTCACACGCTCCGTTCCGCGCGTTACGCGCGAATCACCGCGAATGCGATAAATCAAGCCGACGTACGCAAAGAAAGCTCCGCCACGTATAAAACCGCAAAAAGCGCAGTATTGTATGGAGGCATACGTCTCCGTAATTTACGGAAACTTTCTTGGAACGTATTACATCAAACCTCAACTCGAATTAATATCGAATGCAAATTGCAGAAGATAAATCGAGGCTGAAAGAGAACGAGAGTGACATTTATTTATGGGGTATGAAGTTATTTCAAAAATAACACGTTCGGCGGGCGTTGCCTCGTAAATTGTTTCCCCTATCGCGTATCCCGCGCGATACGGGCGGCGAATTCGGGGCGATCCGATAAGAAAGTACAAATTTACATCGATGAGACGCGAGCCGGTGCGTTTCGTAACGGCGTTTTTCTTTTCTTTTTACTAAGCGCCGTCGAGATAATGTCTTAACTGGAGTCGCTGCCAGAGGTTTACGCATCGATCGGGAACGAACTGGTGTGTATAATAAGTAGTGGGTAGAGTCGTTTGCACTTTGCACCAAAAAGTTGTCCGGCGCTCGCTCGCGTGATTACGAGCCGCGGCCGCCTCTGTAAACCCGCAAAATTTGCATACGAGACGTACGACGCTCGCCTTTTTTCGCGTCGCCCCTCGCGGGCGCTCGATGAAAACGCGCCGTCGGATAATTAATAATCGCCGGATACCAGGCGGTGCCCGATTATTTTTAACGGTAAAAGCATACCGCGCGCAATTATAAACGTAAATATACCGCGCGCCCGATGCTGCCTCTGCGAGAGGTAACGGTGCAAAATGATAATCGCGATGAAACGAACGATCATCGCGGGAAGAAACCGCCGCCCGGCCTGCGCCGACGGACCCGTTTTCTGTAACTGAAATTCGTATACGCGATTACGCGCCGCCGTCGACTCCGCCGCGACGGCGAGGAAATTACTTTCGGGCTGGGAAAGAAGCCCCTTCGAAGGAAATATCACGTACCTTCGCACTCACCGCCTCGTCCAATTTTGCACGCTCTCGCCTCGTCTCGATCGCGGCGGAACGACCGACGAGGGGAGGACCTCGTTCTGTTGATGTTTGTTCCGCAACGCTCGATAATGCACTTAATAGCCCTCGAATTACTCTGTGAATGATCGATCGATCACTGTTTAACGAGCGAGGCCCCGCAACTATATCCACGCACCCATTCGTTCTACGTGCATCAGGGACGCTCGGGTCATTTCTGAAATTTTTCAATTACGTCGGTCGAATTATTTACATATAAAAAATGAGGGAGGTGTTGTAACACTCGGCGTTTTATTAAGGTTTGTGCCACACTCGAGTAAAATAATTTATGAATTCATTATAAATTAATTATTGTGTGGCGAGAAAAAAAAGTTCAATTGGGAGGAAAAACGTCACGGTCGACGCTTTAACGGGCCAGTACAATCGCGAATTTTTAGAAATAAGTTTCGTTACTTTTACTTGCTTTAGATCGCGTGTTATCTCATATCGCGAGGTCTATCCTCGAAGCTTTAACATATGTTTTACATGCTTTTATACTATTATATAGCGTATTGCATTAACTTGGAGGAAATTTCCCTGCCTCGGATGGTATAATTTCGCTGAAACCAGTGCCTCGATTTACACTTGCGTACCTGTCCATAATTGCGAAATATTTTCACGATTTTATCACTGATTCGAGGTGTTGCTGAAACTGTAAACGCGCGTTGGTAAACGCCGAGAGGAACTCGCGAGCGCGATTAAAGCAAACCCGAACGTCGTAATGTGAAGGAAACGAGCGCAAAGAGGACAAGAGCTCGCGTTTTGCGCAGGTATTCATTAACTTAGCGTCATACAGACTTCATATAGTACGACAATGCAAACATTAAGACGCACGTACGTACTTCCCAATGGGGTATCTAACGCTTAACGTATATTTAATGTCTCAACTGCAATGTAAAATAGGCTTAGACTCTGGAGAGGCTGTGCACGCGGTTGCGCCAAGCGAGGATTCGCTACGGCGAGAAAAGATCGACGGAGATCGCCTTTCTCGAGCCTATCGACAAGTAGGAATCTATTTTTCTAATTGAAAGATATAAATAAATGAAATTCCAAATTTCATTCGACCACAGCTGGCCACATTTGTTAATTAATTGGTCAATGCAGAAAATTTATTGCGCAAAATATTACCTCAGCCAGGATTTGAACCTGGACCTCCCTTACTCTCTAGGCGGGCGTCTCACCAATTCGACCACTGAGGCATGTGGTAATACTTGTCGCAATAACAGTATAAAAATGACATCCTCGCGTCTATTTTTCGACTTTAAATAAATAAATAAATACATGATCTATAACTTTCGCCATCGCGCTCTATGTATCAAATACGCATATTTTGTTCTTACTTTTCTTATTAGCTATATCTTGTTTATGTGCCTCTTATTATTCTTAAATTAAATTACCTCTTGCTTCGACTTTTCTACACTTAGAAATACTTGTTGCAAAAGTATTTCCAAGTGTAGATATTCGTGCAAGGGTATGTCCGCATTGAGCTCGGGTCCGTGGGTTTGCTAAGCCCAAATGACTGTGCGGATCAGTCATCCCTGCGGGACAAGTTGAAACTCACGACAATATCTAAGAGTAATCTCCCGGACGGAGAGAGAAAGTCGAAGTTGACTTTGATAACGTTCAGCGATTAAATAAAATATCGAGAAACTTGTCGAGCCCCGTCACGAGTCCTAGACAAATCGCATCGACGGATAGAAACGAGAGTGTCGAGGACCTCACGCTTCGCGCAAAGGTTACATCACAGCGATCTTGTACGATTTGTTGTAATTATCTAGTCGACCGTAAAACTTCAACACTGTATAAAATATATTGGTAAAAAGATCGATAAAATCAATGGACACCGAGAATGCCAGCGAATTATTGAAGTTTGACGAAAGTCAATTATACAACGATCAAATCTCATCGAATAATTTTTTACGTATACTCTTTTCTTTGTTAAAAACTAATTATCCACTACACTTAATAGAAGTCAATTGTTTCGGATTAAAATATTAGAAAATAAATATCTGGTGGGCTTTTGCCCGGTTTCTCATTTTCTGGTTAACTGTTGACCAGAAGTTAATCGACTCTTCATCTTTTTCTATGTTATTGTCTAGGAAGAGACAAAGAATCGATCAGCCCTGGTTAAAAATTAACCAGAAAATGGAAAAACCGGGCCTCGATAGATTGGTTGTACGTGGCGATAAGTAAATACGAAGCAGAGTATTAGCGTATACATTGGGTGATGAAAAAGGTACGTTATTCGTTGCCGGCGCTTAAAGGCACAAAAGGGGCAGAAAGGCGTCGCTCGGACGCTTTACATAGCGTTTGCCAACGTCTGGCCATGCCGGGAATGGCAGAGGGGAGACCTTCTGCCTTTATACCGGCTAATACTCTGGACGGAAATATCCGTAATGCAAGGACAAGCAAGCGGCTCTAGCTCGGCCGCTTCGCATCGAACGCGAAATATTCGCCGGGCTTTCGGGCCGAGCGAGATAAGCCGGCTCTCGCAATTGCGGTCGAATCGAATTCGGGCGAAGCCGATTGCAAATATTCCATTTAGAGGAAATAAATGCGGGAGGGTTTTTCATTTTTTTTACGAATCGGATGCAAACGGTTGGGCCTGCAGGGTTTTTTTTCTGCACCGTTCGCGTGCACGCGAGAACGATAAATTGCCGTTCGATCGCGCAAACGACTTCCGCTTACGCAAAACGCGAAAATTCGCCGACGTCAGAGTTTCCATTTTAAAGCTCGTTCTTGAACCTGATGCTCGACACCTTCGTCTGAATTCGATGTGCGACATGTATCCAGTGCGACCCACACGTTCGCCCAAGCGAATCGCAGAACGAAACGGCATTAAGATGAAAATATCTGTCAAGTTGTTGTTGTTTCCGGGGCTAACAGCTCATCGATTCACAATGCGGCCAAACATGATTCTCTCGACGCGTAGGTGAAATGTCGAAGGGTCTTCCGCGTGCTCCCGCCATTAGAGCATCTCCTAAAAGCGTGGTAACTCCGCGTGACGCGAGTTTATATTTTCTTGCTGATTAATCGCGCACCATCTGCGCGCGAAATCGAATAAACGCATAAGACATCAATCGTGCGGAGCGGCGATTCGCGCGTGGAGCCCGTGCGCGGGGCAACGAGACAAATTCCCGTTTTTCGTCGGAGTTGGAGCGGATCAGCGGTTGCACGTGGGTGGCGTGTTCAGTAACTCGTGTACGTCGCATAAAGATGCTCGAATTGCCACGTTGAATCGCCGGGTTTCGAAACCGGCTCGACTTATATCGGCATCGCGACACGCACGTCGCAACTCCCGAATTTCGAATCCGCCCGTTCCCGACAAAACTTCCCGGTTAATTATGCACGGAGCTCGCGCCGCCGCGCCGCCTTGTCATAATCCTCACACAAAGTCCATGAAGTACGAGCTTGTTTGAGAAAATGCGATCTCAAAATTGTCACGGACCGCGGGAATTTAGATGCTTTTCAACATTATCACGCGATGGACTTAGTGCCAACTTGTACATCGGCGCCTTTCGAAATTAGGCCAACTCGCAGTAACAATGTAGTCGAGAGCCAAGTTAAGACACCACGGGGGCTTTTAACGAAATCGGACGAATATTACGACCCGCGACAAGCTGCGCCGGTTATTTCCAAGATTACGGTATATTTCGGACAGGCATTGCAATTGATTAAAGGCGATAACAGAAACGCACAGCTTGACATTTTGAAATAACTTTGTGCTGTACGAATTAAGATTACGGAAAGATGTGTAGAGTACAGATAGAGAATTTTCTATTAAAATCTACTTGAAAGTCATGTGATCGTGAGACAATATGGCATCTCCAAGAATTTTATGACAATTTTCTGAAATTCTACTATACATTTTTCTAGTAAACTCTCATAAAACTCCATGAAATGTCGTGTGGTCGCACGATTATATTGTCAGGATAAATTTCCTCCGTGTATTGTGTAATAAAATTATGTTCTAAAAAAGTTAATGAGAGTTAAGGATTTCCCTTGACTTCTCTCTTTCTCTCTGTCTCTCTCTCACAATCAGTGATTCTACGGTTGTATGACATTTTGAAGAATGCAGATTTTTATGTTAATATCCAATGAACTCTATGAATGCGAGATTATTAATAAGCGTGTGATTGTTCGATGTTTCTGCGGACTTACTGCGCGGTGTAAATTTAGAGCAAGTTTAGAGCAAATCGTAGAATTGTCGTAGGGCAGTGTGAGGGAGGGTACACCTGCTATCGTGACAGGAATATACCTCGTCGCCTAATTTTCATAGGAGCACGCTACGCCACGGCTCGATAAACTTGTTTATTTCGCGGCGCCTGAGTTCACGATTCGCCAGAATATCATGACAGATATGTCATACACGCTCCGCTCTCATTCGCCCTCGCTATAATAGCACTTGACACTTTTATCTCGCGCGATATAATAAGTAACATTGCGCGGGAGTTAAAGACAGACGAGCGTACACAAAATGTTGAGGGCCATGTTAAAGACCACGGAATAACGAAGAATTATGAGCGTCGTCCAATGAACGTGGGCGGCATTCAGCCGCGCGTTGTTACTTCCGTGAATTATGAAAATGCGAAATATGGCTTTATTTAATGAGCATTTACAACCCATCTCGCATTGCGCGTTTGACAAAACGGAACACAAGATGTACAGGTAAGTAAGGATATTCAGGAAACTCGTATACTTTTTTTATGGCGCCTTCTATCGATTATTGTCATAGACAGTGCCTTGGTACAACTATTGAATGAAGTTGTCTCATGAAAATATATAATTCAACAAATCGCGTATATGCAATAGCTTAAGGGGATGCTGGAGTGGTTTGATTTACCGTCAGGTCGCATACAGTTTTTGGAGGTTTGTAAAGAAACGTAACTT